CCCCCCCCAACTTCTGGTATTGTTCTGACTTCTTAAGGCTAATTCTGACTTCTTAAGGCTAATTTTGCACTCAAACCAAAGCTTGCCGAACATTAACTTTAATAACTTACATTAGTGGCTCACAAGATTAAAGGTGCGTGCAGAGAATCGGATAAATGAATAATGGACGACATCTATGATGTATTTTAATGGTCTTATCCTTTGGTCTTGATGGAAACATGGTGGACTGCCATGTTACACAAACACAATTATCTAATTTGTCAGGAGGACCAATCTCAATCATCCTCACAGGATACACCAAATATGGGCTAAAAGAGCGCTGCTAACCAACAGAAGCTTGTTCTAGATGATTAGTGCCACAGAGGTAAAAGCTGGAATCAGCGCCTCTGTGACCCCCTCGCAATAACATCTGTATGCCTGAACAGCAAAACAGAATTCATGGGCACGGCTTGCCATTACAAGACCGAACGCAACCAAGGCCACCCCTTGTCAATGGAACATGGATGAGTCATCCTCCACCCTGGAACATAAGCTACTTGGATTTTCAATGCAGAAAGATTTCATCATTTATTTCTCAATTCTCGCTATTCATTGAAGTGGCTGCTGTATGTATCAACCACAGACGCGTTTCCACCAAGAAGTTCCTCGTCATTTGGGTCCCGGGAAGTATTAACTGATGCATGTTGTAGTGAATGAAGGGGAGGAGGAAAGAGTAAGAGAGTCTGTCTCCACGGTTATTTATTAGAAATAACTTAATTCTGTCATTGACAGCACCGCCGCGCTGTCTCTCTCTCTCCTCAGCTCACTCACACAATCTCTCTCTGCAGAGAAGGCAAAAGCAAAGCCTAACTTTACTTTGATGTCATCAAACAAAGACAAAAGCTCTCCCCTAAGTCGATACTAGCACGCTCCCTTGTTTCATGAATGAAGCGGCACAAGAGTTGCAGCGGCACTGTGTGTTTGACCAATCACCGACGGGAATTCTTGCCAACCCCAAAGTTCCTGTACTTCCAGAAATGAGTGTATCCCGACCAGAACCTGTTTGGAGGTAAAATGTCCCCTGAACTTAACTAAGACCCTGGTCCCTGTGGTCCAAGTGCAATGAGTTCCTTATTAAATTCCTCGTCCCTTGGGAAAGTTCCTGCTGGTCAGAAACGGGCTTCACACAGTGAGCACCATTACAACCTACTTTGAAAATGTGATTCTTCACATGCTGTCATAATAGTACTTGGGTTGTAGTTGGCCTACCTGATTGAGACTGGTCACAGCAGCTCCTCCTGAGAGAGCTAGAGCTCTACTGTGACTAGGGTTGGGTACCGAAAAGCAGTGCCAATATGGCACCGGTTCCTATACGACCGGTATCTACCGGACCGAAATGCAACGCAGATTTCGGTGCTTCCTTTCGGTGCCTGAGCCGATTGAAATACTTTTTTTACACTACTCTGATGACTCCGTCCTGGCAGCAGGACTCGGTCCTCCGCTCCTCACTCACAGTATTATTACAACGGGATACTTAGCACTGGCGCTCATAAGCACAACATCCACAGGCACGCGAAAGCTTCTTCTTCTTCTTCTTCTTTGAGGTGTAGTGGCAGTTGGCAAACGACGAATTGGCGCATTACCGCCACCAACTGGTAAAATAAAATAAGTCATGAGACGTGTCGTATTTTGCCAGAGAAGGCAAATGTGCTCATATATCTGCAAAAGAATTGCTGAAGTTTGAAGCTGTAGTGTGTGTACAGAGTGTGTGTGTGTTTTGTATTTATTTATATTTATTTAAGTATACTGTAAACTGTTAACAGTTAATATATTGTTCATAGTTTGAAGTTAAAAAGTTTGAAGCTGTAGTTTGAAGCCAAGTGTTTTGTATTTATTTATATTTATAGTATACTTTAAACAGTTAATATATTGTTCAATTTGAAGAAAAAAGTATCGGTTCAGGCACCGTTTAGGCACCGGTATCGGCAAAACCCAAACGATACCCATCCCTAACTGTGACTGCAGCGTTTGCCAAGATCTCCTCCTCCCTTAAAATGTTTGACCTCGACTATACTGATTTGTCTCTGGAGGGGTGTTTTCACATTCCTGCTCTGAAGCAGGAGATGTCTGTGCTCTTCCCTAAAATCTGAGATTCAAACGCTCTCTGGACCAGCTAGATTTGGCACGACCTGCATAGTCAGAGATTTGTTTATTTTTTACGTTGTGTGGGAAAACAATGTCAGCGGAGTAGTTTATATCCTTTAAAAAGTGTCTGGAGGGGAGCTTTACAAATATTTTCAATTATATTTCCAGACAAACGTATCAAAGGGAGAACAGGGATTTACAACCTGAAGGCTAAACGCTTAACAGACCACCTGTTCTAGTCAGGCTGACCTCTGACCCTTCATGTGACCTCACGTCAGGGAGCAGGGCGACCAGTCACACTCTATACTGTCACTGTGGTACAACCATCAATACGATGAAGTGAAGTACTACATATTGCTACTGTCAAACAATAGCAAGAGACCTGATATTAAGCTAAAACCCATGTGAGCAGCAAAGTCAACCACAAACATTCTACCAGAGACAGATATGAGACAGTACACACTGCCTATGGTGTTGGGAGACATGAACCAACAATGGACAAACTTGTGTTCTATGCACTACAGACTCCGTAGATATGAACTACCCTGCGTGTAACGTCAGTGCAGTCATGAGGAAGAAGACAGAAAGGTAAGAGGACACTCACTTCTTGAGAGCAGTGATGAGGTAGATGCTCTTGGGCAGCAGCAGGAAGACCTGGTCTGTGAGCACAGCATTAATGATCTTCTTGGTCACATACTCTGGATTCAGGATTGGCAGCAGCGTTGGCCACCTGATGAACACAAGACAAAGGATTCAGAGAGAAAATAACAATGCAACTGTTAACAGCAGTGAAACCACCTACAAACAGAAATATTACTACATCTACAAATCTAGATATTACGACATCTGAATCCATCCTAAGCAGCTAAGAGTGTTTTGTTGTTCTGTGTTGTTTAAAAGTGTGAGAGGTAGAAAGTGACAGGGCAGGTGTTTGGTGCTGGCGTAAAGCATGTGTCCTGCTGGCTTCAGGGGCCTGTTGGACGGATGAGGGTAGACAAGTTTCCAAACACCTGTAAAACCTGACCCCAGGGCATCTGGATGTGTGTGTGTTTGTGTGCGTGCATGCATTTGTGTGTAAGGGCAAGTAAAAAAAAAAACCACAAAGACACTCTCAGTCCCAGTGTCTACCAGTCTCAGTGTCACCACAGAGACCTCAGGCTGGTGGCTCATCTCTTGTTAGAGCGAGTTCTGTTTTGTGTTACTCAAAAGTAGGAAATTAGAAGAAGCATTGGTTTCTATTGAGACATAAAACACCTCACCAATGTAGAGTTTTGGGAATAAGGGAGCCACTTGAATATAGGTTTGTGAGATAATAAAGCTGTCTTTGCGACAGATAAGTCGTTACATCATCATAGCTCTTGGACTCACTTGGTTTGAGTCACTTCATCTCTCGACAGAACACCACGGTTGACCTCAAAGTTTACCGTCACCGTAGTGAAGCCGGCTCGAGGCATGAGTGGCAGAAAATGACGTATTCGTGTTTGAGGGCTCTGAAAGTGGACGCAGTGCTTGGTCGTGCACTTCTCAATTTTTGTAACATTGTGCGTGTGGTGCGATCAGAGCTTTTCAGACGTGCGACTGTGGCTCAGTGAGAGAGCGGGTCGTGCTTAAATCTGGAGATCGGCGGTTAGATCCTCGTCTCTGCTACCCCATGTCGATGTGTCCCAACGTGCTCCAGAATGCTGTGCCCATGGTGTAGTGTTATAGCGCTTTGAGTGGTCGGAAGACAAAGAAGGACAATACGTTTTAAAACAGGAGGTCTTCAGAGTATATAATTTGCAGCCGAATCAAATAGTTTACAGGATATTCAACCTTCGTTTCTTTAGGAGACATTTAATACTCGACTTGTTTCCTTACAGGGCTTGTATAAAGGCAAGAAAGTATTCCATGAATATGAGATACTAGTTTACAGATAATTACAATCCCATCTCATCATTGTGGAGGTTGCTTTATGGCCGGTTGCTTTATTTGCCGGTTACACTCGTTGTCTTTTTGATTCCTCACAGTTCATTTTGTTTGTACGCCCTCTGGCATTTCGAAGAACCAGTTTACAAACAAAATGAACCGTGAGGAATCAAAAAGACGAGTGTAACTGGCAAAATGCCATAAAGCAACCTCCACAATGACGAGGTGGGAATGTAATTCTCTGTAAACTCGTATCTCATATTCATGACTACTTTATTTCCTTGAAGAAACAAGTCAAGTATTACATACATTATAAAGAAATTAACGTTGAATATCCTGTAAACTATCTGATTTGGTTGCAAAATATTTAGTCAAACGAAGATTTTTTAACACCTCCAATTTCTAAAGGATCTGAAAACAAATTGGGCTGTTTTGTATAATCCCTAAACATGTAAATAGTGTTTTTATCAGTGAACTATTTGAGACAGTCGCATGATCGCACACCCGCCAACCTACAAAAAGTTAACGATGCACGACAAAGCGGCGGCTTCACTACGGCGAGTAGAAACACAGCTTCAGCCTGATTGCACATTTTTTTAGCCAAACAATGTTGAAACGGAGCAGCTAACGGTGGTACCGAGAGCAACAAGTTAGCGGAGTGCAGAGTGTTTGGATGCCATCTCTCTGCAGGTTAGTTCATGCACTTCACTGACAAACCAGAGCATTTTACAGTAACTGTGGGCTTCATGATGGAGAAAGACAAGTTTTGCACCCAGTCACAACGTCACCCCCTCTCACTCGCCTTAATATTAAATAAAGTCTCTTCTGTCTGTGTATTCTAATACTACTGCTCCATGTCATGCTCCGTTAAAATCTTCCTATCGGTCCCTCCTTCTATACAGTCACTCAGTTTCATTTCCCGGATTCATTTTGGTTCCAGTTTATTCCATTGGAGGGTCCCTGGTCTTTCACAGCTGTCATAAATAAGACGGTGCTCCTAATAGACATAAAGGAACTCTTACACCTCCTCTGCCATGACAAGTCAGTTCATCTCACGGCGGTCTTCTGAGCCCTGGTCATCGCAGCCGGGCAATTAAGCCCACAGCCAGCACTGCTTAGTGGCTTTCTGTACGGACAGATTCACACACACACCTCAATGAACAAAATCTATAGGGAGCTATAAACGCTAAAGCAGAGGACTGACCATGATCACAGAGAAAAGGGAGCGTTGAAGGAAAAATACATTTGAACCATTTGCATAATTCCTTAAAGTGACATGGTATTCTAAAAGAGAAGAAAACAATAAATGGTGGAGGACAGTGTGATCAGAGCGTAGAAAATATAAGTGAGGGGAGATGGAGTGAACTTGTGATTGGTTGATTTGAACCGAGCTGAGGTGATAATGGCCAATCGTCTGAAGTCAGAGCGATGCAAAGAGAGACCAGAGATCTTCATAGTTATGGTCTGAGATGTGATTTGTGCTGATGGCTGCAGCTCTCTTCATAAATAAGGTCAAAGGTTACTTCCACGGGTGACTGTGTTCATCACAATTCGCCATTTTTAGGGTGCCATTACACGTTAATACAACTGTAATACTGTAACAGTTAGGGACGTCACGAGAACCGTTACTTTGACATCAAGTCAATGAAAAAAATGATTCCGTAGCTGAGAACCGTCAGGGCTCCAGACTAACAGTGTCGCTAGAAAATGTATTTGCGAAGCTAAATTATAACGTTATGCGTTTCAAATGTAATCTTGTAAAATGTATTTTTTTGTGATAAACTTGAATAAATCCAGTTGTTTGAAGGAGACGTTTTCACAGCAATATGAAATAGATATTAGTGAGGGAATTAGAACAAAAACCAGTAACCAAAGGGTAATAAAGGAGTGTATGTTTGGACTTATGGAATTTATTGTTTGACTTTGTTGTTTTACCGTGGTATCGAAATGTGACATCCCCAATAACAATAACAGTTCTTAACCCAAATATACAGTCCTGTATTTCCTCACTTCCTCCACTGGCATTTCGCCAGGTACAGTTCATGGTTCGATTGGTCCAGTTTGACATTAAATGTTGTCAGTCCAAAATGTCTTTACCTCATCGTTTTCTCCTAGTAGACATTTGTGTGAAATTGTAATACTTGGCACATGAATTCTTGAGTTATGGCCGAAAAACGGTTTTGTGAGGCCACAGTGATCTCTGACCACCGAGTTCTACTCAGTTCATCCTGGAGTTCAGGTGCACTTTGGTGCTAATGTGAAGAAATTCCCTCCAGGCGGTCCTGAGCTATCTCGTTAACGGAACGGACAGACAACCTGAAAACGTAATGCCTCCGGTCACGGCTGTCTCCAGCGTGGAAGCACAAAAACAGGCAAACATCACGTGAAGAGACCTACTTGGTTTGACATCCGTCAAACATTCCAGTGTTGATGAAGTACGGGCACACAATGGTGGTCTTGATGCCGTCCTTCCCAGTAGCCAGCAGCTCCAGACCCACAGACTCTGCAAATCCTACTGCTGCAAACTTACTGGCACAGTAGTCTGCAGGGAGAGGAGGAAGAAGTTTGAGTATTTTTACAAGTTAACAACTTATTCCCAAATACAGAACCATAAAAGCACACTAGATGTGAAAACACTAGGGCTGTTTGATGACAAAAAAGCTCATAATCATTTTGATTAATACTGAGACTGATTATACACACCATTACTCATTGACTATGTAGACTTCATGCATTCAGAAAGAAACATTTTTTTTGCACATTTAAGGAGATAACGCATCAATCTGGTGCACTTTGAGCACAAAAAGAAAAGAGGCTGGATCTCTAAAGAACTTTGACCAATTTAATCATAATCACATTACACACATATAGATATGACTGTTGACGCATCAAAAAAGTCACAGCCACAAAGCATGGTCCCGCCCCGGCAGAGAGAGAGAGAGCGAATGGGTACAGTCCCGGGAAGTGGCGAGGTCAGGGTGAGAGGTGCCTTAAGGCTCACAAACAGAGCCTGAAGCTGTGTTCATAATTGACAATAAAATGAATCGCTGGGCCGTACTAGTGTTTTCATAAAGAACTCTGTCCACACTGAAACATCAGACCAAACATGGCTGATCAAATACACATTTAGAGTGCAACTTCTCTGACCAGATAAATACAAAGCTAATGACAACAGCTTTACTCCACTGCTCAAATACCCATAAAACCATATTATTTAGTATGCCAGAAAAAGATTTAATATGGCCTTACACATAGTATGTCAAAAATCCCAGGACGTTCTGCTAAATGCATTTTGCAGTATGCCAGCCAGCATGCTCTTCTGATTATTCTGACCTAAAATCCTCTGCACAGCAGATATGTGAGCAAGAGGGGCAAGGTTCAAGGTGCCATGTTATGTTTGAGTAGTAGTCCAAATTGAATGCATACTGCATGCAATGGTACGTACTTTGTGAGTGCAGGTGCAGTATGTACTAAAAGTACAAAAAAAAAGAAGTCATTTTGGAACACAGTGCATGTCTGCTTGCATGTTTTCCACATCCACACAGACACAATTTACAGCCACCATATAACATGTGTGTTTATCAAAATACAGCATTTAGATGATAGGAAGTATATTGTGCCATGGTTACATCTATTACACAATCACTGATAAGGCACTCGCATCTCTCTGACAAATATGGGTGAGAGGGCGACTCACTCATAGTGATCTATTTATAGTAATATTCTCTGGTAAAGAACATCTCATCTAATGAAGTCAGCTGATGCCTACACGCTGACAAATTCTCTCAAGATAAAGTTCCATTAAAGTCATTAAAGAGACAATTCTAATTGGGAAACAAAACCAGAACTGATGAAATAACATTTATTTTTACAATCAACACTTGAAATGAAGACGGCACTTGCAAACACAAGGTAGTACAAAATGTAAACCATACATTGGTGTTTGATTTTCACTTACTTTGTTATTTTTTTACAAAATATACCAAAACACTGGCAACGAGGAACGTCTTGGGTAGATAATAACAAGGATAAATATGAAAAAAAAGGAAATCATACCCTCGAAACTAAAAAGGCAAACTTTGAATTAGGGCTGCACGATTATGGCCAAAATCATAATCGCGATTATTTTGATCAATATCGAGATCACGATTATTTATCACGATTATTCATTAATTTTAGGGACAACATCTTTTTATTGCACTTTCACATTTAAATGAACAAGAGCACTGCTTCCACTTCCATTGTGCTACATTCCAGCTAATGTACACGCCTCTGCATCAAAATACAACGTATACGATACTGATCACCCGAAGCAAAATATAAATAAAATGTTTACTCAAAATAAAGGGCTAACTAAAAATAAATGTGTGTTGCTCACAGTATTTATTGGACACATGTCTTTGGCCAAATGAAATGCGACTGCATCCGTTATTTCAGCGTGTCTTTGGGAGGTGGATGGATACGCTGTCGCGCTATGCAGGGTCGCTGTTATGGTTTTGACGTTGGACATGGACAGAGATTCAGTGAGGCAACGTTAGCTTTGGCCTTAATGCATTCGTCATACTGTGGTTTGTGGTGATTTTTCAGGTGGCTGAACAAGTTAGTTGTATTGCTATGCGGCGCAAACACAACTCTAACGCACTCTGTGCATATGATTTGTTCTTGGTTAACATCACTTGGCCTAAATCCAAAAAACTTCCAGACAACGGATGATGATCCATTTCGAGGGGCTAGCTCCTCGCCTTCTGCTCCTGACATTTGATTTAGCTTTCACACGACACCCGTGACCGTCTGCTCTCTGTTCTGTTGTCTGTCTCTCTACTCCTCTACTCGACTGCAGACAGAACTTTCTTTGAGGCTGCCGCTGCAGGGTGCGCGCATGACACCTCCCAACTCGTTCGCCCCCTGGTGGTCGGCTGACTGTTAGTTGAGGAAGAGCTTGATTTGATGTGTAGCAGAGCACGCATTTTAAACGTCAATATCGCAGACGATCATGCTCATTTAATCGTGGCAGCCAAAATCGTGATCGCGATTAAAATTCAATTAATTGTGCAGCCCTTCTTTGAATTGACATCAAACACTGTTACTAAACTTGTGTACAAGATATTTAGCTAAGGCTGAACTATAGAGGGAAGGTCCCAACATGAAGATGATCAGATGTTCATGTTGAAATGTGTTCACATTCAATAACATACCTTAGTAAACTGACCTCACATAACTATGACCAGGTTAAGCAACCTGACTGGAATTACACAAGGGTTTTGTTTCGACATGAAAAGGGACAGTTCACCCCAAAATAAACATATTTCTCATCTGACCCGACATGAAACAAGGTCTGGATTTTCTTGAATAACAGGGCCACAGTTTTATTGTAAAGAGACGATGCTGAACAGTTTTTAATATGTATTTTTTTGGTGTGCCATATAGTCCCATTATATTGGAGAGTAGGCAGACGACCCTCCAACACTAGGCAACTTGCACCAAAACTATCTCGACTGATAAACAGCACTACTGGTATGAGAAAACTATTATACATTTTGGGGTGAACTGTCCCTTAAATCATTTGGAAACGGGTGATTACTTTTCTGTCCATCGATGAAATCCTGCAAATTGATGCCATAACACAGACCTGGAGTTAGAACATACACATATCCATCTGTAGCACAGCAGAGTTAGAACATATCTATCTGTAGCACAGCAGAGTTAGAACATATCTATCTGTACAGGAAGAATGGGACACAGACTGTATCACTATAATAAATATAAGATAAATGGTTGAGATCCTCCTTTACACAGAAAAACCAACTACAGAGTTGAAGAGTCTAAAGACACATGCTAAAGTTCCACTCCAGTGTACAGACACTCTTGGAGATGATGGCAGATGATCCACTCGGGGACTAATCACACAGAAACGCTTCAAAAACATCTAGGCAAAGCGTATCAAGGGGGGGGGGGGGGCTGTGGAGCAGGGATGCTTCTCATATGTGATCAAGGAAAAGATGTTGGTCAGTGTCGCAGTCTGTCCTTACAGTAGCCTACCTGAAACTACCATGCCATGAGATATGAATACCCCCTTCCCTCTAACAGTCCAACAGCTAACTAGCTAGCTAGCCCTACCACATCTACTGGCATCAACACAGGCAGGAGGCACTAAATTAGTTAAGTCTGCCTCTTGCTTGAAATCATTGTTCGTCTGGGCCAAGTGGGACATTGGCGCTAAAAAGGCGATAACTATTATCTAAAAAACTTTTATGCATCTAAAAAACCAGGCCATCATGTGTCGGGGACAAAATGGAATCAAGCAGACGTCAAGCTTTTGCTTTTATGTAGTAATAAAAACTCTAATATCAAACTTTCGACCGCATTTGTCGTGACGCGGCATCAAAACAGGAAGGCAGTGGTAAAGCCCGCCTCTTGTTTGATTTGATTGGTTGCCTGGGCCAAGTGTGACATTGACGGGTGATGTGACTCTGTGCCTGGCACCAAAAAGTTGAGAATATCAATGTGAACTTCTATGTGCATCTAAAAACCGCCAGAAAATTGCGACATGCGGGAACAAAAGGGGGACGCTGGGCCATAAGTGGATCAGGGCCTACCATAGCATAGTTTTGCTGCCGACGCGCTTCTAGCAACGCGTCTGTGTGATCAGCCGCTCAGAGGAACACCAAACTACAAGCTTTTATCAGCTCATTTCAGCCAATGTCATTTTACAGGACCGTTCATGCCGCCTCTCTCTGAATACACGATGCAGCACGAAGGATCAACCATCAAACTAAGGCATAAATAGGCCTACATGGTCTCATTAGTGAGAGGCGTCACGTCAGAGGACCGCCCTGCATACATTGGTCAAGTGTCCAACACTTATCTTTATTAGTCAGCATATCCTGGTCTAGTTATATGAATCTTACCCACTGTGTCCGTCTCTTTCATATTGTTTGGACTTGGGATATTTCTTTCTTCATTTTGTTTTATAGGTTTCCAATTCCCAAAAGTAACACCAGGCATTTTATACAGAGTATTGTAGATGACTGTTTAATACCATAGAGTTTTCATATTGCAATGAGCAATGGCTCCAACCAAGTGCAATTATTCTATGGTGGCATTTGTTAATGCGGAAAATGTAACATGTTTTTAAAACACAGAATAATCAGCTTATTAGCAGTTTAATCAACCTGCTTCCTCTAAAATTGGGTCGCTATAATTTAAGTCATTTCATCTTGAGTATCAACAAATTAAAGTCTAATGCAGTATTCATATTATTCAAATATAATTATACAACATATCATTGTATAATACAGCTACACCGCACATTCAGTGGTAAACAGACGTATGAATTATAGCCAGTATTATAGAAATATATTTACAGAAGTTTGTTTCATAGTTTCCTTAATTGTGTTTCCATCATAAAATATGGATGGTTCACTCAAGTAGTCTTCAACTAAAATAAAAAATAAAGTGCCATCAAATACAGTAAGCCATCAGTTCACCAGCTATATATCCATTTACGAACACATAACTTGAACTATTTTTTGGTTGAGACCAGAGGAGAACTTTTTGGATGGATGGAAGGTAAATGGACTGCATTTATTTCAAGATGTTCTACCTTACCAGATATCATTCACACACGCCACTATAACGAATGCTACTAGTATGGTTGTTGATTTGAAATTATAACAAATATCAGTCATGTGAATTTATTCAAACATTTTTTACATTTTTGACCTGAAACACAACAGATGTATTAACTTTGAATGAAAGACGTTTGGGACTTAACGATAGCAGAAATGTAGTGGTAGATACCAATACCAGTGAAACCCCATGATTCTCCATACCAAATTTGTTACCAAGGTAAACAAACTAAACAATTAACAGTAATGTTAGGCATAACATTCATAATTCCCTCTCTACTATCTATTTCATATTGCTGTGAAGACAACTGTATTCAAGTTGCTCCGGAGCAGAACAAGCTACGTAGCTAACTAGCCAGCCTGCTGCTCTGTTGCAGGCGAGCTGGGCCAACACTTCAACATAAAAATTGTAATCTAATTTCAATCTTCATATACATAAAAGGTATATACCCGGCAGAAACCTGCGGTTCTGCCGAGTGAAGCCGATGCGGAAGTCTCTTAAAGCTGCATTCTCTCTAATGTCCACCAGGGGCGACTCCTCTGGTTGGATAGAAGTCTATGAGAAAATGACTAATTCTCTCTTGATTTATTACCACAGTAAACATTGTAAACATGAGTTTATGGTCTCAATCTCTAGTTTCAAGTCTTCTTCAATACAGCACAATTTTCATTTAGTAAATGATGGTCCATTTAGAGTCAAATAGACCATAAAGCAGGGGATGCTTTAGGGCGGGGCCCCTGGGGTCCTGCGATCGCTAATATAGGAACAAAACTGTTGTGTTAATCTGGATTCTTTTACTTGAATCCCCTCAGATGCTCTTGTCATGTGCAGCACTCTCCGATCATGAAGGTGAATCGACATTTTGTCTGCAGTTATTATGACTTCACCATATAAATTATTCAGACTGTTTAGAATGCTCTGTAGCCCATTGTACATCTCTGGAGGCATTCAGGGCCCAGTGTTTGTTCCGAGGGTCCGTCAGAGTAGCTTCAGCTCAGCCTGTAATAACTGTCCCCTGGTCAGTGGATGCTAATCGTAGCTCATTGCGCTCTGGGTCCACGAGCTGTAGACTCATCCTGGGGTTTTAAACCAGCAGTGTTTTCTGACTCAGTGTTGTGAGTAATGCAACCTCTGGGCAGAACAAGGTAAACAAGCCAGCAGGCAGCAGCTCAGATGAAATATTCCCACCGACGAGAGCGTCAGAGGGGGATTCAGGCAAAAACATCCAGAACAACAATAGTTTTGTCTCTATATTAGTGACATGAACCAGGTCTCTAAAGTCCTGCTGTTATTGTTCCAAACGGCTTTGAAACTTCTGAATTTTGATCATGTTGGGTTTGTAGAGAGGCTGCCTCTCCTCTCCACAGATTTACTAGATGATACTATAGGACACTAAAGAGCATCTGAACACGTTAAGTGAATAAAAGCCATTTTCACTTCAGTGTTAAGTGCTTCACTTTAGTCGATGCCAGAATTCTGAAAATGTGACGGGACTCATATTTTTCTACAGCACCGCAGGTGCCAGGGGGGCTGGAGACTAACGGCATCTAAAATCTGAAAGGAGCCAGTAAACTCTTGACTATTAGTCTTTTGGAAAACCAAACCAATGGGGGTGGTAAATGGACTGCACCTATAAAGCGTTTTTTTCTAGTCTTAACAACCACTCAAAGTGCTTTTCAACACAAGCAAGCATTCACCCATTCATACACTGGTGGCAGAGGGTAGCATACAAGGTGGCTGTTTTTCCATGTGTAATACATGCATACTCACATTAATTTAGGATTTACTATCCTGCCCTGCCCAAAGACACTTTGACATGTGGACCACAGGGGCCAGGGATTTAACCACCAACCTTCAGATCAGTGGACGACCACCCTAAATCCTGAGATAGTAGTAGTACTTAATAAATTTGGCCCCAGCATGCCCCTGCCCGACATTTCCAGACAAAGCACGCTAATGTTACATTGTGAAAAACAAATCCATGTGGAAATCAACAGGAGGAGAGCTATTTAACGTTAGCTGTTGGCAGCTGGTGGGCAGCAAAGTCCTGCATGGCTAAATAACAAAGCTAACGGCTAACCTTAACGGAGGTTGCATTGAGATATATTATGATGCGTTCAAGCTCTTTTTAGTAAACATTTGTGTTGCAAAGGTACATTATAATGATATATTCAAATGTAATCTTAAAAAAATTAAGTAAAAATGTAAAAAAGCATTTGACACTAAAAATGGCAGTCTGACCATTAGACTACCAATTTTCACCCTGATTTTTTTTTATTTTCCTACGAACCAAAAGAAGCTGTAATACAAGTGACATGCATGATATGGTCAGAAGGAGGAAACACACACCTGCCAATCCATTGACTCCTATGAGTCCAGCAGAGCTGGAAATGCTGACAAGATGGCCGTGATTGTTGGCGATCATGGCAGGAAGGAAGGCCTTGTAGGTCTGAGCAGAGACACAGGAAACACATTAACCATCTGGCTAAATAGAGAAACCTAAACATGGAATTTCATTTGCATGAACCATCTAGATTTTACAAAAAAAGAGAAAAAATTTGTCAAATCTAAATTTTGTTTCAAAAACTTTCAACTGCAAATGAACTTTGCTCAGTTGTCATCATGTGACCTTAGTATATAACCAACAGTACAATACTGACTGATCTGCCTCTAAATCTATATGCTTAACAAAGAGAAGGTCTCCATGAGAGAAGCTGATGTGTGTGGTGATGTTCTAGCCGTCTGCCGAGTCTGACTGACCCAGAAGTGAGCCATGGTGTTGACCTCCATCGTCTTCTCAATCAGGGAATCGGGAGCGTCCATGAACTTCTTTCCCGTCACGATGCCAGCGTTGTTCACCAGAATGCTGACATCACCCACCTCTCGCTTAACCTGCGTGGAGCAACAGGAAAATGTCCGTCACGTATGATGCAATCACATTTCTGTAAAAAGATACTCCCAAGGAAAGAAGGAGCTCCCAAATAGGCACATTGAAATGTTACCAAGCAGAAGCCTGTTGAGACCCAGAATGGAGTCACCACTTCTGTAGAAAGAGGACATTGCCCAGTCCCACTATAACCAACTCTAAAACCTGCATTGTTTCCCCTTTGATTGAAAAATGCTTCGACAAAATAAAAACAAAAACACATTACTTGATGTTGACTGATCTTTTTTATCTAAATGTGTACATTTGTTTTCCTTGTTATTGGTCTGCAGATCATGGCTCTGTCTGGTAACTGCATATAGCAAACACCATAACAGACTTGTTTTAATGTACTCGGAAATTGTTTGTCATATTTTACTGTCAATTTTCATATTTTTTATTCTTAAATTGTGTCACATACTATTGCACTGTTTATTGTCACGCACCAATCACTAGGGGTGGGGGCAAAAAAAATCGATACAGCATAGTATCGCGATATTTTGCGTGGCGATATTGTATCGATACACGGAAGCCAAGTATCGATCTTTTATTATATAAACCTTTTGGTACTAGAAAAATAAAATCAATTGCTTTTTCAGTCCACCGATTGGTAGGAAGTTGGTCAAAACAAAGATGGCGACATCGGAGAAAGAAATCAGAAATGCACCGTCCGCGTTTAAATCAGACGTCTGGACTTATTTTGGATTTTTTAACAAGGAAGGGAAGGACATGAACATGACGCATGGATATGACTAGGGTTGGGTACCGAAAATCGGTGCCAATATGGCACCGGTTCCTATACGACCGGTATCTACCGGACCGGACCGAAACGCAACGCAGATTTCGGTGCTTCCTTTCGGTGCCTGAGCCGATTGAAATACTTTTTTTACACTACTCTGATGACTCCGTCCTGGCAGCATCGGTCCTCCGCTTCTCACTCATAGTATTATTACAACGGGCCGAGTTGTGTGCGCTTAGAAACGAACCCCTCCATCATTCTGGCGAAGCTTCGGCCATGATTTATTAAAAAAACACGAGAACGAGATCTGTCATACGGCTGACAGGCTACTGACTTCCTCCATCGACATCCGGGTACTTAGCGCTGCCGGTCATAAGCACAACAACACAGGCACGCAAAACTTTCTTCTTCGAGGTGTAGTGGCAGTTGGCAAACGATGAATTGGCGCATTAGCGCCACCAACTGGTAAAATAAAATAAAATAAGTCAGGAGAGGCGTCGTATTTTGCCGAATATGCTCATATTTCTGCAAAATAATTGCTGAAGTTTGAAGCTGTAGTGTGTGTACAGAGTGTGTGTGTGTTTTGTATTTATCTATATTTATTTAAGTATACTGTAAACTGTTAACAGTTAATATATATTATAGTTTGAAGTTAAAAAGTTTGAAGCTGTAGTTTGAAGCCAAGTGTTTTGTATTTATTTATATTTATAGTATACTTTAAACAGTTAATATATTGTTCAATTTGAAGAAAAAAGTTCAGGCACCGGTATCGTTTTAAAAGTATCGTTTTAGCACCAGTATCGGAAAAAACCCAAACGATACCCATCCCTAGATATGAAGCATGGATATGACACATGGATATGACTCCGGCGTTTTTTCACCGACACAGCCGTGCCCAAGCTCTACAGAAGTGAAGCTTAAAGTTGAGGAGTCTTTGAGTACAGCAGAAAGAGTTGCATTAACTTGCGATGCGTGGATGTCAAGCGCAGTAGATTCCTATGTGACTATAACAGCACAATATCTCAGGGGACTGGCAACTGCTGTCTCACATTCTCCAAACTAGAGCAGTACACGTAAGTCACACCGGGGCAAACATTACAGACCTCCTGCTAAATGCAGCACAAGAATGGGGGATTGCCGTCAAAAACCTGGTGGTTGTAACCGACAACGCTTCTAATGTGGGCGTTGCCGTTCAGTTAGCATGTGAAGTGTTTCGCTCACACGCTCAATCTGGCCTCACAACGGGGTTAAATCTGCCAACAGTAGCCAGGCTCATGGGGAGAGTGCGGCGCATAACTGGCTCTCTGCCCTTGACGTCCACGCATCGCAAGTTATACTGAGTTATATAAGTCTTATATCGTATTACGTGTCTAGAACTTATATAAATAAGTTATAGACACGTTTGCATTCAGTTAACTTGGACTATGTAGTAATACAAACAGTTCAGTTTGTCAGGTTTATGCAACATTTATGACATTGTTGGTCAGCCTGTCTGCTTGACAATCCTATTTTGCTGCAATAAAAATGATTGAAGTGAGATGAACAGACTGAAAACTGTATCTTATTAGATAAAACATGTTGACACAGTTTTCCTTTGGGGACATCAATTGAAGTTGAAAAAAGTAATATATATCGCAATATATGTTATCGCAATACTCAGAATATCGCAGTGTCGTGATAATATCGTATCGTGACCTAAGTATCGTGATAATATCGCGGGACCTCTGGTGATTCCCACCCCTACCAACCACCAAGCCAAATCCTTGTATGTGCAAACGTACTTGGCATTAAACCGTTTGATTGCGATTCTTACCATGAAACATGACCAGACGGGCAGGTCCAACATGTTATCATTGGCCAGACTGTAATTAGAACCAAATACATTAATTACCAGCTGTGATCATAACTGGTTGGATTCAGTAAAATGGCCTGCCACACAAAGCCTGCAGTTTGCCTCAGTGATTTACATTTATACGAGTCATCTAGCCTTTATTATTTGCTAGCATACACATAAGTCATGACAGCGATTAAGATAAAGAGGCTGTAACATTTTGTTTCCTTTACACCTTCAGTATTATCGAAATATATTTACAGAAGCTGGGCTGTTTGTTTCATTGTTTCCGTCCTAAAATGGATGGTTTACTTAAGTATTCTTAAACTAAAGTAAAGACCAAAGTGCCATGGAATACAGAAAACCATCAGTTCACCAGCTTATTTCGCATTCATGACCACAGAAGTTTCACTTTATCCATAATCATAGTCTATAAAACATTTTTCACCAAACATGAATCAAACCACAATTCATGTGGTAGTCTGACATCACTCATACACATGCCACTGTCTCCATACCCAATTCATCACCACGGTAACAGACTAAACAATGAACAAGGACATTACATTACAGTCATTTAGCAGACACTTTTATCCAAAGCAACTTACAATTCAGATTCTATCACATACACTGTAGGCATAGCTACGGGAGCAATTTTTGGGGTTAAGCGTCTTGTTCAAGGACACATCGACATGCGACTAGCAGACCTTCTGATTGAAGGACGCCCCTGCTCTCCACTTAGCCACAGTCGCCCACTTTGGCATGTGGACAGGAGGAGCAGGGGATGGAAACCGCCCCAGGCCCCCACTGACGTTGCCATGACATCCGACAATGATCTCCATTTTAATTTGTACTCGTCAAATGACAACAGGTTAATGGATGACCTCAATAGAAATATTGTTGGCTAACATTTGCTAAACAAAGTGCAAATGCTATCGGAGTTCATTTACTAACAAAGTCACAAAAAACAGTTATTGATAAAGGTCCAGATTTATAGAGGCATTTCCAATTAGTCAATTAACACCACCTCCTGACAATAGGAAACATTATGGAGAGAGCTGGCTCACGTTACCAACAGTCTGATGGTTCCTTAGTTAGTTATTGATAACAAAGATGCTCTATTACATTCCAATGCATGTAAAATACTTATGAGTATAAGTATGAATCCCACTGAATTTCTTGGCATAAACCCACCATGTGTAGCTGGTTGAGGGTTAGGTATTGACCTCCAGTCGTTGGTCAGGACATAAGACCTGAACATATCAGTTTACCGGTAACTCAGCGAGCCTCGACGTCTGGCCAATCATAGCGTTTCAATGCTACGAAGGGTTTGCCAAGAAAACCAGCGGGATCCCTTCTTTTATAGGTTCCTTGGTTTGGACCAATCAATAACATGTCTGCTGCGAGTGCCAAGTGCAATTCCATTTAAAAACTGAAAGCAATCGGATGCGTCTCCAGGGAATCATACCCTGAAACCCTTACAGTCTTTAAGTACTGGACCTATATATCCTGTTAGCAGAAATGAACCTCGGTGGTAGCTCCAGGCAGATGGATCAAAGCATCAGGAACCCCAGCAGGCGGAAATCAGTGTGACCCGAGTCTAAGCTGAACCATATGTTCTGGTGTGGATGTGTCCCCATGCGCTGCAGTCCTTGTGATGTCAGCCAGAGGAGGGTGTAGATACACGTTGAGTCACTGTTCTTTGGCCCTCCATCCTAACTAATGCAAAGTCCTCGAATTTAAGGACAAAAAATACCATGAAGCCCCTAAAATGTTTTTTAAATGTCTTCACTTGGTGTCCCCTAGTGCTAGTAAGAATCAACACAGACCGCACCAGTTTTCTTGCCTGATTTCACAGATTTCTACAGCGATTAAATGGATCTGTTCCCATTCATGGTTCCCCAGCTGAAGAGTCAGAGATGTGTAACTGTGTTTCATCTTCGGCCCTCCATCCACACTAATCGGCATTTAGAAACACGAGTCCTGCGTTGTAGTCCGAGCATGGACAGTTGTGCTTTTGGAAAGCTGTGATGCAAGTCTGGTTGGGGGCTGTGCAGCAGCGACAAGACAACCAACCGTCTCCATTATCGCTGCTTTTACACGTCAATTTGGCCAATCAAGAAGCACAGTGTTTATGTGTCCTTTGTCCGACTACTTCATGTTTTGACCGAAGCGTCAGTGCAGGATTTACTGCTCTACTGGTTAACAGCGATACAATTACTGTGTTATGCTCCCTCCATGTCTTTCAACCGAAGACAGACAGTGAACATAATAATTAAAGCGTGAATCAGGTAGACAATCACAGAGAGAGAAACACAGGTTGGACAAGGTGAGCCTGAGCGGACCTGCTAAACACATGTTGGCTGTGATCAACAGGACAAAGAAGAAGTGATTCAACCTTTTTCCCCTCTTATTTAGGCATTTGAGTGTGGATCTTTATAGGGCACAACCTAAAAACAACACATTTCCATATGCAAACCGCGTTTTCTAAATTGCCGGTTTACTATGCTGGTCGAACCTTGGGAGTCCGGCCCTGGGTCTTTATGGTGGTGCAGAGGAATTTGACCCCTGTACTCTAAAATGAAAGAGTGTGACTGCTGATACATGGACACAATAAAACTACAAACAGCCTGGATTATCAGCTGTCCTTAATATAGGGATATGCTGATCAAGATATCCGTCCACCAAAACAGAGACAACAGAATATAATAATTAAAGCTGCAAGCAGCATTAATCGGGCCCTCGCATATTCACGCACGTCGAGGGTACTGGGAGGACTGTGGTTGATGCAGCCATGCATTTCTGTGACCACCATACACTGCGTGCACGAGTTAAACGGTATTTCCTGTGTCGACCAATGGCGTAGCCAGGTCATTTTGCCAGGTCTTAAGCCTGTTTTGAGTGTACCTCCGAATACAATCATAACTGTATGCCTGTAAAAATCAACAAAAAACTGAATGTGTGTGAATGCGCTTCAGTGTTAGTAACATAACAGACTGTCAAAGTAAATGCAGGTCGTTTGTTTGTGCAGGTAGCTCTGACAATCACTGCTGAGTGACTCAAAGCTGGAAGAGTTGAGAAGAAATAGGAGAATGTTTGGTTCCATGTGGAGAAATTTTTTTTGTAAAGAATTAAGTTTAAGCCAAAAGGTGAGCCAATGTAGAATAATCTATCATATAAATTAGGCTGGGTGCAGTTTGATTTTATTAAACAAACTTCACGTTGCATGAAATTACTTTACATTACAGCCTGGCTCCAAAAAGAACAAAAACAATTCAATTTACTATTAATGAAAACTCCACATACAAGCACGATTTGGAAACCTTTTTCATCAAATTTCTGCTCTCCAAACATTTTAGTTTGCACATATTTAGATCAGAGAAGTCTTTTTCTCATGGTGTGCCCACGAACCCTTTAAATAAGTTCAGTGTTTGGGCCGCTGTATTTATAGAATCCTGCTTACGGCCATGGTTATCAGTAGGTGGCGCTATGACTATGAGTTAATATTGGCATGCAGAAGTCCTGAAGTCATGACAGTCAACAAGCATGTCAAGTTTGGGACAGTTTTGACAAAGTACAGTCGAGTTACAACAGCTTGTTGGATGATGGTGAACCATGTAAAATGGCCGCCACACCACGTCGTTCAATAAAACCTCAAGCTTTTAATCACTAAGGTCTTTAGATTGTTCTGACCAAATTCTAAATTGATCTGATTAATTCCCTAGGAGGAGGTTGTTAAAGTACAGCACCTGGAAATGGGAAAAAAACACGAGAAATTTATACAAAATTCAAAATGGCTGACTTGCGGTTGGGTTTAGAGCATGGCCCCAGGAGTCCAAATGTTATACATTTGCCTACCAAATTTTGTATGTGAAACATACTGCGAGGGCTGCTTCGTCGAAATTTTGTAGGGGGCGCTATTGAGCCGACTTGCCATTCTGAAGCATTAAAATCATATTCTGTAACTAAATATTTGACTTGTAATCTGTGTGCCAAGTTTGCTTATGTTTCGAGCATTTCTAGCCTCTAAAAATTACCTTCGTTTTTCACGGCAACAGCGTTCGACGAAACTTCAAAAGCTTCATGAACTGGCATTATGAACTTCTTACATTTGTGTGGAACTAATTTGAATAATTTACATAATTGGTCTGTAGATGTCTTCAGGACTGGAGTCTCAAACATGTGGAATCTGGTAAAGATCTGATGATGTGGAGTCGATTACATCAGTTTATTTGTTCATGGCTCACAGAGTTGTTATTGCTCAGCTATAAAGGAGAGGCTGCTACCCAGATGTTTTGTACACTGCTCTTTACTAATAAAGAGGACAGATGTAGTGTTTGTGTACTTTGTGTGGTAGTGTTTTATAGTGTGCACTACAGCTTTCTACTGATGACTCCTGACGGCTTTGTCTTTGACTATTAATATTGACGCCCTGTTGTCTGTTATGTACTAAACACAGGTGGGAGACGAGGAGGTGCTCGACACCGACGACGTATTTTACACCGATAGCTGGAAGGCCTGCTGAGGGATCCCGTTTGCCTTCTAACAGTAGGCTTGTCGAGAGACACTAGAAGTCTGTTTAATATTTATTCATTCAGTTTTCAGCTGATGAATCAGGGCTGTGCTCTCGGTCAATGTTAGTTTTCCCTCTTTTCATTGACACAAAAGTCTAGAGCAGACAAAACCGCAGACAGGTTGTGACACACTGTGCCGGTTCACACTCCTGTCTTTTGTAGACTGAATGATGTCACTTTATGAAAACATCTTGCATTCGATAATTAGGATGCTGCTGTTTTAAGTGAACCGTGTCGGTGGCTGTTCAGATCCTGCCCTCTGTACTCTCACTACAGCCCACATACAGTCAATGAAGTGTCTAATCTCACACGCACGCACGCACGCACGCACGCACGATCCCGTTGGCGGAACCTGTTTATGGTACAGGAGCTGGGCGGTGCTGATAAAGCGTGCACGCTTTACATACTACTGAGCATGGGAAAACAGTTCACTGTTCCTCAGGTCTGGCCACGCCCGTCGGAAAACATTGGCAAAGACTGCGCCACCACGGCAACGGCGTTCAACAAAACATCAAAAGCTTCAGGAACTGGCATTATGAACTTCTTACATTTGTGTGGAACTAATTTGATGTTGATCTGATTTACCTACTAAGAGAAACAAGCCAAAGTATGAAGACTTTAACTTCCTGTCACCAGTAGGTGGCGCTGTGAATAATTTACATAATTGGTCTGTAGATGTCTTTAGGTCTGGAGTCTCATCAAACATGTGGAATCTGGAAAAGATCTGATGATGTGGAGCTTCACAGAGAATAAAGACATTTCAACACCTGTAATAATGGTACGAGTCAAATCTGGTTTTGCCAAATAGATTACTGATTCCAAAGAGACGCTGGATTGCCTAGTACAGAATTTGTCGTCAATACCAGTATTTCGTGGCACTCCTAATCTGCTAACAATGAATGGTAGCTAGCTAAACTAAAAAGCCTGTATCGAGCAAGGTCCTTCCTTAATTCATTCAGACAATATGTCAGGAGGTGCTTCAGCTGTCTGCAAAGGATACAAAAAGCAATGTAACCGTCTTGGTATGTAGCATCCACAACTTCACGCTAACGCCACCTTAAGTAGTTGAAGATGTTTGAAAATATAGTTTGTTCCATGTGTATTTAAACACTGACACTATTTAGTCATGATTACATAAGCCCTGTGACGTTTAATATTTCTGGAGGAGCGATGGAGAGATGACAGGCTGCTCAGCCTTAGAAAACTACACATTCAAGGAACAACTTCTCTCTCTGGACACATTATATAACACAATCTGTTGATTGCAACTGGTTGCCTCGTATATATTTTTGCAATAAAATAAAACAGCCCATGTAATAAGTAATCCCACATCATTCATGAGGCATCAACATGAATTACGAGTTATTTTCAGACAAATAGTGCTGTTTGTTGTTGTTTGATCATTAGACAGATGGTCTCAACAAAGCCAGGTCTTTTATTTCATAATGTTGCCTAAGGCAACAGTCTGTTTATGTATTCATTTGCTTATATCCCCACAAATGAACTTATTACTTTTCATGGGCTTTCACAGTAACATATTTGAGGTGATTGTTGAACATTCTGTCGCTATTTTCATTTCAATAAAAAAATAATAATCTTCAAGTCAGATTTTTGTCCTCATCTCTCATTAGACAATAAAAATGTAGTAAAGTACATTATGTAAATAACGGCCGGAGGTTTGACAGCTTATTTTGTTGTCAACAAACTAAATTAAATTGACAGGGAGAAAAAAAAAAAAACACGTACTTGACTTTGTGTACTCCTGACTGAACGGGTTGCAGTAAAGTAATGAGGCCAACAGTGTCTTCTGGGCCCAGGGTACCCAGAAGACACAGCTGTAATTGGTAGAGCGGACACCCTTACCTGGTCAGCCACTCGGTAGACCTCATTCTTGTCGCTGCAGTCACACAGGTAGTGGTGGACTCTGCTGGCTCCGCTCAGCTTGGCCAGCCTGGCCGTTTCCTTCATCCCGTCCTGGTTGATATCCCACAACACCAGCACAGTGCCAAGAGCCGCGAACTCCTGAGCCATGAGGCGGCCGATCCCGCTACCGGACCCCGTGATCAGCACCACCTCGCCAGCTATGCTCTTTTTCCTTCTGGGCACGAAGAGGTGGACGAAAGATTCCACATTGTACCAGATGGACAGCAGGAGGACTTGCAGGGTCTCCAGGAAGAAATTCATGATGGATCTTGGAAGGAAGGGAAAGACAAGAGAACACATTAGAGAAAAATAAAAGAGAAATAGAAGAGAGTAGTGCAGGGATGACGTATTTTTGTAGGCCAGGCAGGAAGTTAGCATGGCACTGGTTCCATCCACAAAAATGGTTTTGGATTACTGCAGAGAATAATCTCTGTGTCAAACAAATGTTTATGATTCTCATGTTTCGTTCATCAAAATAATCTTTACAAATCAAGACAACTTTTCTGATTTTTCAAGCTTGACTGCAATCTGCATAAGTAAAATGCTAACGCTAGGCTGTACACCATGGTCACCAGACGTCACGTCTCCACCGCTAAGCTAAATGAGGACTAGTGTTCTAGTGATGACGTGTAGTCTCAATTAGCCACTCCTTGGTAACCGCCTCTTTTACACCACGTTAAAGCTTCTAAATTCACCAGGGAGGGATCTACCGACGTAGACTGAAAACTCACCTCTTCAAGAAGGCCTACCCTTAGCCTTCCACTTAGCACTTACTTAGCATCTATTGTATTCATACTAGCTTATTGCACTTATTGTAGTCATATTAGTTTGTGGCACTTATTGCATTTGTTTGTTTCTGCACTGTACGTTGGCTCTGGTTTATGCTCTTAGATGCTTGTTTGAAGAAAGGAGATGCACTTATGACTTCTGGTGACTAGTTCTCTCGAAAACCGATGTCGAATACACTTATTGTAAGTCGCTTTGGATAAAAGCGTCTGCTAAATCATTGTAATGTAATGGAAACGGGGATCGAACTGCCGATACCAAAAACTGTGATGTTTTTCCCCACATGGTACGTTGTGTTAGCTAATACGACACATTTGAATCTGGCTTTGAGCGTGCTCACTGTAGAATTAATCAATTGATCGGCCACAACCATAGACCGTATAAGAAGTGGACGTAGTCATCCTGACGTCACCCATTGGTTTGTGGACTGATGTTTTAAAGCCTCGAGTTCAGCGATTTAGTTGTCGCCATCTTGGAATACGGTGGTCGCCATGTTTTTTTTCGCAACCAATGAAAAGAAGTTATCAGATTTGGAATGCGGAGGAGCGACGTAGAGATGCCGCATTCGGCTCCATTAGCAGCAGCAGCAACCTGTCAATCACAGTAAGCCCCGCCCTAAAGCATCCCCTGCTTTATAGTCTGTTTGACTCTAAATGGACCATAATGTACTAAATGAACATCATGCTGTATTGAAGAAGACTTGAAACTAGAGATTGAGACCATAAACTCATGTTTACAATGTTTACTGAGGTAATAAATCAAGAGAGAAGTAGTCATTTTCTCATAGACTTCTATACAACCAGAGGAGTCGCCCCCTGATGGACATTAGAGAGAAAGCAAATTTTAAGACACTTCCGCATCACTTGGCAGGTTGCCGTTTCTTCACAACTCGGTGCTTACTCTGAAGCAAGGAACCACTAGTTAGCTCAGTGACTAGTCCAATAAAGTTTTTTCAAACAACATGGATGTGCCCTCAGTGTAGACAAAACAGAGAGAATATCAGCTTTAGTTTGTGCAGTTCTACTACGAACAGAAATGAAGAGAAAACCATGAATGGCTGGAAGATGCAGACAGTGAGGTTTGTCCGTTCACGTTTCTATCACAGCAGTCTCAAGACCACCGCTATGAGACAACAAGTAAAACACTACTCTAATAATACTAAAACTAGCTCTCTAAAGCACACCTACATCAGTGGCGGGCCGTGCATTTTATACCTGGGCCTTCTGTGCTGTCCTATAATGACGCCCACAGCTATGGTTATTTGTTTCTAGGGGTGTAACAATACACGTATTCGTATTAAACTGTTCGGTACGAGGCTTACGAACCGAACAATATGTTTGAATAATACTAGTGCATTTGGAAAATGCAGAAGCTTAAATTGTGGGAAATATGTTTTCGGTGGACTGCGCTCACGTAGGAGCTTTCTGTTTAACAAAAGCTTTCTGTTTAACAAAAGTCACGATTTTGAGAGAAGTTGTTCCTTGAATGTGTAGTTTTCTAAGGCTGAGCAGCGCTGTGATTGCAGACGTACTTAGGAGGCTACCTCGGTACCACTGGTACGTCAAAGAATACGCCCAACACGTCAAACTAAAGATCTGATTAGTTGAACACTATGACAATCAACAATATCATCCCCATATACTTTAATCTGCAAAGTCTACCTAGAGGACCTCAGGCCTCTCTCCTTACATAGAGGCTGAATCTGATTGGATAAAAGCTCTCCTTAAAACAAGCTGTGCTGGAAGCAGAGCAACAGAGGAACACAGGAGCTGTGCAATGAGAAAATAAGCTAATGGGGAAAAAACTATAATACATGTAGGCCAGTGTATTTGTGAAACATTATTAAACTATAAAATAGCTTTAACTTTGTGATTCTGTTTAGGCCAGCAGAGAAGGCTTAGCTGGCCCTGACGGCCCACCACTGACCTACACAGTACTGATTAAACTGAGTTTTTGAATGTTGAACTTGGATAAAACAATAAAATGAAGCAATTTAAAAAGCATAAACTCTCTGGGACATATTTAATGAGAACAGCTGTGATTTAAAATGTTATCTACAAACTAAATTAGAGATGTATGGTGGGAGTTTTCTGTTAATTGTTCATCTATCTTGTCATTTTAACACTAGAATTAAATATTTGCACGATTTTCTACTAATATCTTAAATGTTAAATCAAGACTTACTTCTGCATATATATAAATTACATTCACTTATTGATTTAATTCAATCACTTACTACAGGTTTAAAAAAACGAATTCAGCTCAGAACTAAGCTTAAAACTTACAATTTTGGAATCATATTGAACCCAATAAATGTGCAAAGTGATGGGTGTTAAAGTTTCTGTGAATAGCGGTAACTTTAAGGGCTAAAACGCGTGGAAACAGGTTCACCCCTCAGAACACGCACTGAGTGCATGTTCTGAGGGGTGAACCTGGATAATAAACTTTATTTTAATGCATTTATCAGTTATCGCTGCGCGATAAACTGAAGACAAACAACGGGTTTTTTTCACAAGAAAGCGGGAAATAGGTGACAGATAGGAACTAGCTTGATAATGCGTCTGTTTATTCGAAATTGAGATTCTAACTTACCAAGACAGAAGTCCAAGAGAACCGCTGACAATGTCCCGCGGGCAACCAGAGTAACGTTATATGGACTTATCAAAGAGACCTTTGCTCACCACATAGGCTAACGTTACGACACACACCGCTCTAATCATACGTGTGTGCTTGTGCGGAAGTTGATAAAAGCAACATTAAAGCTCCAGGAGCCGGTGAACGTACCGTGAGGCTGAGTTTCCCGGATAAGGCTCGACCTTTTCTATAGCCTCAGGAGACACAAAGCAGGTTATCACATCAAACACAAGCAGAACGCTACTCGACAGGGAGAAGCCGGATGTGTCACGTGACAGGCAATCAACCACTCCCGGACCCGCGCGTCTCCTCTGCCACGCGAGGTATTCTGGGACTTGGAGTGTGTATGTTTTTTCACTTAATTTAACACTACAGCTAAATAAAAAACACATGACAGTTATAAATCAGTTTAAGGATTAGCAAACAGTAAAAGATAAATAAACATTACAAGAGTAAAAAAATATAACAATGAGTAATCTTTCACATTGTATTGCTTTTTATGCTCTTTACTGATCACATTTCCTCAGAAACACAAAATAACTTTACAAAATTTTACTGGATAATCTGCATTTGTAACTCATATTTGACTGTTAAAATGACAAATAAGTAAGAAATAACTAGAATTTGGATGTATTAACTAACTGTTTCTAGCCAATAAAACATGATGTGAATCAACCAGCAGGCGTGAAGTTTGCCTCGTGACATACTTTGAATGACAACCCTCTTATTTGCATAATAAAGAAGAAACACATGAATAAATGTAGAAAGAAAATAACACAGGAATAAATACGTTTGGGAAAATAAATAGGGGGGAGAAGAGGCGGGAGATGCAAATGGAAAAAAAACACATAAATACATCTAAAAAATAACAAAATAAATGGCTGAATGAAGGCCTTCCTTTCACATTTAATAATAATTTCAGTCCATTTAATAGCATATTAATTGATTATTATCTATTTTGTTTACTTAACAATTTGTTCTCACTGACATTGATATTATTGCCGTTGTTACATTTTATTAAGATCAGGTACTCACGTCTCATTTCTTATTGATTTATCTGTTGGGTTGGACCTTATTTCATTGTTGTATTAATGATTTATTTGAACGTCTTTAATGTGTGGACCTCATGAGGATTGCCGTCTACTACGGCAGAAAATATTGGGGATCCATGACATAAAACAAATAAACAAATGTTGACGGAACACAAAGGGCAGGATTGTGTGGTGAGGGCACATGTGGACTTACAAACACTTGAAGTGGCACAGCAAAGACACAGGAAAGCATTTGGCCACATTTTGCATTTAATAACACAATCATTTGCATCGCATGAAGGCGAAGTATGTTGGCAATACATTGTACACCATCATCCAGAGACTAATATGGGTGTGATAACAGATTCTATATACGAAGTGGACGTACTCACGGAGACGCCACCCATTGTTTTTTTGGACTATGGTTTTGAAGCCTTGATTTCGGCATTGTGACTGTTGCCATCTTGGTTTTTGGCCGTCACTATCTGGTTTTGTTGCAACCAGAAGTGAAACGAGAGGTCCATCTTGAAAAAGTGATCTTAATCTCAATGAGAGTACCTGTTTAAATAAAAGGCTAAATAAATAAAAAGTACACTTTCATTATTTATTCATAACATGCTTCCTGATTATTGCATTGAACTTCTTCACATAAAAACGTTGCTGCTCACACATATTTTCACAATGTTCTTTTTTTGTGAGACAATGATCTTCTTAAAGACCAGTTAGTTAAACTGCCACTCATGTCTCATTTTGCAAATGGTTTGGCACACAGTGTGCTGAAGTAAGAGCCTGAAAATAGCACTCCCTTTCTACTTATTGAATCTAATAGAACCCAAACTGAAAATTCACACCCTTTTAGGTGAAAGGGCAAACAAAAGTCAACACCGATTTGGCAACAACTTCCCATTTAGAAATCTCCAGACATTTGGTAATCTCCTTTGGTAATTAATCTGTGATTGAGATGAAAAACAGTTGCTCAGAGACACAAAAAGACTCACGAGAGCTATGTAAAGGGGCAAAGCAATCACGAAGATGAACAAAATGAATACAAAGTGACACAAAACAACTACAAAGAAACTTAAAATGACAACAAAGAGACACAAAATATCCACAAAGAGATAGAAAAGGACCACAAAGAGAAAAACGACAGAAAGATGCGTAACAACTGAAAAGATCCACCAAACAGCAATAAAAAGACGCGTAACAATTATAAAGTCTGTGTGTCTTGCTCCTGTAGGAGATGTGGTGGGGCCTTTTGCATGTCAGTCATGTCGCAGGGGCCCATTGTCTCATAATCCACCGATAGGGCCACAGTTACAAAGATGTCATGGATATTGGTAGGTAAAAACCCATTACAAATCAAAGATGAAAGTTACATGGACTTCCTTGATGATACATCATACATCATATGTGTAAAGTTAGGTGGCCGTGATGAAGCCAGTTTGGTCCACTTACCTATTTCCACAGTGCAAACTTCCTCCAGCACCCCTCTGTGGCCGTGGCAGCAGGAAGAGTAATACTTTGCAACATTAAATACAGCTCTATATCCTTCAAATGTACATACACCAACACAGAGCATTTGATAAGAGCCAGTTGATACAACTAATCAGCTGTTTGGTTTAGAGACGCCTCTAAGTCTGAGTAATGAAACGGCCCTGCTGAACCCACATGGAGCCAGGACAGTGACAGTACATTTTGACTGTTAGTGAAAACAATGGCATTGAAATACTTGTATTGGAAAAGGTTGTATTAGCACTGAAACAAGCTCCAATGAAAAATGAAACACAGGCATCAATAACGTTTGTATATATATATATATATTAGTGCTGGGCAAGATTACAATTTTTAATCGCATGATTCTTTTGCGATTAATCGCATTGTTATGTGCAAAATTCAATAATGAATTCAAAAGTAGTGTATTGCGCACTTTTATTTTAACAGTACTGCAGTATTCCCTTTACACAGTAGCAGTTATAATTAGGGCTGCAACAACAAATCGATAAAATCGATAACATTCGATTATTAAAAGAGTTGGCCACGAATTTCATTATAGATTCGTTGTGTCGTGCGACTGTTACGCCACTCAATAAGTCGCAGAGATGTTTGAGTATAAAAAAAAAAGTTGAGTTGATCGCGGAGCAGAGCAGAGCGGAGCTAACAATGGCTAACAATGACAGATATCCCATGTTGGCCAGGCTAGCCAAGTCTTACCTATGTATCCCTGCCAACTCAACACCATCTGAGCGGCTGTTTTCTGCAGCAGGAAACATAGCCTCCAAGAAAAGAGCGAGCCTGAGCCAGGAGCATGTGGACATGCTCACATTTTTGCATTGCAATGCAAAGTGTCTGAACAAAGGGAGAGAGAGTGAGTGCGTGTATGTCTGTGTCTGAGTGTGTGCATCTGTGAGTGTAGTGTAGACAACAAGTTCTGACGTTCAAACAAATCCTGTTAAGTTTTCTGATTTGTATTTCTTCTTTATTTTTGATAAATTATTTATTGTTCTGACAGCTCAGGTCCCTTTAAACAAAAATATACATCTTTTTGTGCACTTTATTTAAAAAAAAAGCCTATATATTTGGCAGATGTAAAGCATACATGTGTATGTTTTTTGTGTTAGTCCTTTTTTTTTATTATTACTTTAACAGCTCAGGGATGTTCAAGGAGCAACCTGTTTGTGCACTTTCTGAAGATTTTTTGCACTGTGAATTTGCACTGTCAGTTCTGTTTTTGAATAAAGGGTTGGAAATTAATGCTTTTTTTATTCGATTCATCAAAAAAATAATCGCCAGATTAATCGATTATTAAAATAATCGTTCGTTGCAGCCCTAGTTATAATACAGAATCATGAATCACAATACATGAATCATTTATTTTTTTGCTTTTTTTGGTATTTTGGTCAGACACATATGCAACGCTGATTAACGTAATATGTGTGGTATTTGTTATAAATGTACATTGGTACATAGAGGGTGATAAGAAGCTGTACATGGAGGGACTTAGGCAAACATATTCGTATTTTACTCTTTATCAATCCTCTGATCGTAAAACTTCTGGGCTTCATCAGGTGAATCAAAGGTGAGCAAGTCGTCTCCGTGTATCACGCGTAGTCGGGCGGGCTAAATCAGGACGTTTTTTCTGTAAAGGGCTTTTAGCGAGTGCTGCGCTGTGATCTTAGTATATCCCTATGGCGGCTCCTTGGTACAGCAGCTCGTGGTTCCTTGCCCAGCGCAACGCAGCTTCCTTCTGCTGGAATCTAAAAAAACAAACAAGGAACGTGTGAGGGAATTTTCCTTGGCCAAATCTGAAGGTTGGGGACCGGTGGGCTCTCTCCAGCTCAGGCGGCGCAGGGAAGACATCGGGACCCATCACCTGCAGCAGCAGCTCCGACATAAACTTGACCGGGTCCTTACCGTCCTCGCTGCCTTCTGGTATGTTCAGTACACGGACATTAGCTCTCCGCACTCGGTTTTCGAGGTCCTCGAGCCGATCCATAAGTGATTGGTTTTGGGTATGGAGTGTGTTAATTGTGGACTCCATTACAGCTAAACGTTCAAAGTTATCACCAGCTATGGACTCCACAGAGGAAAGGCGCGTCTGGAAAGTCTTCACTGTTGTCTGCAGTGAATCTAGTGAGGTTTGAAGTGGCTTGGGAGATTATTGAATGAACTACGCTGGTTCTAAAAAGAGGAGGCTTAAAGCTGCATTCTCTCTAATGTCCATCAGGGGGTGACTCCTCTGGTTGTATGAAAGTCTATGAGAAAATGACTCTACTTCTCTCTTGATTTATTACCTCAGTAAACATTGTAAACATGAGTTTATGGTCTCAATCTCTAGTTTCAAGTCTTCTTCAATACAGCATGTGTCAGGATCCCTGTCAGACCAGACCACACCGTCGATCCTGCATGCTCTACCGTATAAAATAAAGTATCTTCTTTTCCTCAATTTCTGTCTCATGGTCTTGCTATTGGGTCCTGTCCAGAACTCCCTTGACAGCATGATGTTCATTTAGGGTCAAATAGACCATAAAGCAGAGTATGCATTAGGGCGGGCTACCTGGAGATTGACAGGTCGCTACCACAGCGTTGTCCGG